AAGGCTTTTTTGTTGTTGTTCATTTTAAGACATCAAGTTCACACTCCTATCTGCAAGACAATGAGGAAAGATGGTCTTAATATTCAGTGAGCTTTTAGCAACCCATTGCTTCATTTGAATATGACGTGCTCAACAGATTTCCTTCCACAGATGAAAATGTGCACCATCCCACTCGAGACCCCTTCCATGCTACGTACTGTCATCTGTCAAGAGTACCTCCTCAAGCCGTACCATCCGCTCCAGACTCATTGCCCACTGGCAGTTCCTCTGTTTTCTGCACGAATGTCCCAAGCTTAGTCACAGGCAGGTGTCACACTGGATTGCCCACCCCATCCTTGTATGATTACCCTCAGGGACAGCAGAAGAGCTGCTCTCGGTTTTCTCAAAGACACGCCCCTGCCCCACACAGTCAGTCAGGCTTGCTGACCAAAGACTCTCCCCTGGGTACAATCCTCTGGGCCTCCTTCACTGGGCTCCCCTCATTTCTCTGCTACTCTGCCAATCTCCCACATGCTTCCTTTTCCTCCATGTCTCTCTGCCTTCATGAGCGTGTCAAAGTGCTTTTTCTAATATATGCATCCAATCTTGTCTTCCTCCTGGTTACCAAGGCCTCGCTGTGTCTAGTCTAAGCTCTTCCAGCTATAGAAAAAACAAAACAAAACAAAACAAAACAAAACAAAAAAAACCAAACTAAACCCTTAAAGCCACATAGCCTGGCTCTTCCTCTCCCGTCTTGCATCTTCATCCATCTCCCATCCTCGTTTGACCATCCAGCTATGCCCAGTCTCAGATCTCTCTGCTACTGCCCTGACACCCCATGCCACTGTGTCTTTGCATGTTCCGGTCATTTTGTTTGGAAAGTCTCCGTGCAGGTGAACTGCTACTGAGTTCACATTTCAAGTTCAGCGTCATCTTTCCTGTGAGTTCTCTCTGATTCCCTTTGGGTAGGTAAGTCTTTATCCTACAACTCCTGGAACACATTTCTGTGGAAGCATTTAACCATGTGCACTTTGATTATGTATCTACAGGTTGGTGTCACCTAGCTAACCATGACCTTCTCAGGGACAAGGTCTCTGTCTTCTGTGTCTTTGTATCTCTATCACCAAGCATAATATTTGGCATATCCAGAGAACCTGGTAAATGCTTCCTCTATGACTAAATAAATGGATGAATGTTACATTGCCTCCCCCAAACTAATCACCCTAGCCATGGAAAAGGGGGATGATTGGATGATTTGATTGATGGAAGCCAAGTGGTGCTGAATACATATGAGTGGGGAAAGCCAATCCTACCAATTACATGGCTGATAATGACGTGGTTATCAACAACAGAGTCCAGGATGTCACCTGGAGGTGGCTGAAGGGGCAACATGTCAAGCCTTTGCCTCTGTGGCTATCTTTAGCTTCTGGTCGCCTGAGGGCTACACATACCTCCAGCCTTGCTTCGAGACTGCTACAGTATTTCAGGAATCCCAGGCAAAGAGAAACAGTCTTTATTTGTATCTCTAGGCTAAGTAAGAGCTTTCAAATAACACTTGCACATCTTACTACTAAGTATCGGCCACAGGCATAGCCCTAAGCCAAACTCTGGCAAGTGGAGCGGTGAGATCTCTGGTTGCGCTTACTCGGGATTCCCTTCTGAGTTAGGGAGGGAGTTCTTTTCCACATGGTCACATGGCAAAAAAAAGTGATGACCCCCAAATTGTCATCCTTCATACTCAGAAGGTATGACTTCTAAGAGAGTGGGTGACTGGGCATTGAAGAAGCAAGCCATAATAGGAAACAAAGAGCAAGGGTTTCGGCACCCTGTTTCTATCACCAGGCCCCTGAGATGAGTATACATTACTGACTTCTAACCACCAGCCACCGAACTTCTTTGCTTGAACCTTCTGCTAATCCTTAAAGTCCCCTTAGCTACCCAGGCAGCCAGCTAGGAATACTGGAAGCCTGATGCCCCCAGATTAGGAACAGCCCTCCACCAATGACCGCCAAGAACACTTTTGGCCAGCGTGGCTAGAAGCCTAGTTTCCTCAGCCCTAGGGAACACACTCTGACACTTGCTCTGCACTGGCTTCCAGATTGTTCCTAATAGAATTGGGCTCCAGTTATGTACAGTGGCAGCTGGCTTGACCATACACCCTTAAGGGCTGCTTCTCCTTGCCTGGATCACTTTTTCAGGCCATTATGTGTCTCAACTCTTTTCACCTCCGATTTCAGAGTCAGTGTGTTGACAAAAATCAAACAAAGTGCTGTCTACCATATGGCCAACTCCTTCTTGAATCCAGAGGCTTGTGTGTTTTCTTGCCATCTGCAGGGAATGTACTTCCTTCTCAGTATTTCAGCATCAATGCTGCATTCCTTGGGAAGCCTTCACACACACACACACACACACACACACACACACACACACACACACACCTGCCTTCCAGCAGACCTTTTCTCACAGATGTTTTCTCCTGAGGCAGGGCATGAATGCAGTTTTGCTGGGGCATTAGGCTTCTATAATTTGGAGTCCCTGTTTGTGAAAAAACAAAAACAAAAACAAAAACAAAAACAAAAAACCCTGCAACTCTACAAATAGCAGTGTAAGGCACAGCCTTAGCAGGAGGCCCAGCTGCAAAGGGTTCTGAAGTTTAATTTTTACTGGTTAACAGAAAGTCACCTCTGAACTGGCTCAGTGACCCCAGGTCCCTCCTACCTCAAGCTCCTGTCACCTTTGCCTGACCTTCAGGACTCCTTGACATGGCTTTCTGACTGGGAGAGTTGAAAGAATCAGACTAATTTTGTAACCTATGTTTCTTTTAATTGCCTTATAACTTATATTTGCAAGTTTTAGGCCCATGTTAATTAAAGCCTCTTAGTGCTTCTCCAGAGAGCCGAGGAATGTAAAAGTTCCTGACGTTAGCCATCTGTGAGGGCAGAGATAAGGAAGAGAACAAGCAGAGATCTCTACTAAATGGAGAGAAAATCACCAGCTGGTGCTGGTGAGATGGGCTTTGTTTGGAAACTGGGCCAAATGGCCCCAATCCTTCTCCTGACCTTTGATCCAAAGACTGTAACCCCCACTCCTCAGAACAGACATGGGATGAATTAATCACTCTCCCTTCCTTTAACTGTGGCTGACAGGAAATTCCAAACTGACTTGAAGATCAGATATTTACAACAGGGCTGACTGGACCTAAGGGTGACCAGAACTAACCAATTATTTTAAAAGTTAAACACCTCATCCAATCCTAAATCGCCAAGAAGGCAACCCCAGGAGATTCTCGCCTTGTGTCTTTTAAAAACCTAAGGTCTTTGTCTCCTGGTGCCACTCCTAGCTGACCAGCAGGGGTGACCCCATTGCGTAATGGTCAAGAGGAACCTTTTGCATTTTTGCATCATGGATGATTAGTTTCCTGAGTTCTCTTCATACCTTCTTATATTTAGGCTCTTGCTAGGCCTAACAGAATCTCTCTCCTTCCTCTGCAGCCCCTGAACCATGTTTGTCTCTGAACCATGTTTTTATTTTTATTTTTCCACAAAGGTACCACAGAACCTTGATTCTTGTTCAAAGGTTTCCTCTTTCTGAAAGCCACAACACTAGGGAAGGGGCCCAGGAATATGACGTAAATTGATACAATTTGAGTAAACATGGATAATCCTTTCTCTCTCTTCACTGCTCATTTTATTTTGGAGGCTCAGAACAGGATTTTCACTTTGATCCCACTCAGCTCTAAAGGAAGCCCCACATCTATAAACCAGGGTCATTAAGCGGGCCCAAGGCATCAAGAAATCTGCTACCATGGGAATCTAGAAAGCAGCCAACCCCCATCATATGCACTGGGGAGCCCCAAGATCACATAAAACAGACAAGCTGACTTATGTTCCACTCTGCAGTTTCAGAAACAAAACAAAACAAATCAAGAACAACAAAAAAACCCCACTTGATCCAGAAAAGAAGTTTCTGGGCTTGGAAAAACCAGCTCTCCCCCTCCCTTCTTACCACTAAAAAAAAAAAATCAAACAAACAACAAAAACTGATTCTCAGACTCTGCACAGCTGGCTAGGTCTCCTGCGTCATCCCATTTCTAGTCCCTAGGTTTGAGGACACTAACCTCACAGACCAATCAAACTCAACTCTTGGTGGCATTTTGAGGTTGAACTGGATCTATTTCATTTTCCTCCGCTGACTTACTTCTCATAAACACCCCACTACACTCTGGGCACAGCAGAAGGGGAAGATGGAAAGGAAAGGGCGGTGGAAGCAAAATGATGGGCTTTGGGGCCAACACTGGCTCTGCAGCCTTCAGCACAGTGGTTCTCAACCTTCCTGATGCTGTGACCCTTTCATACGGTTCCTCATGCTGTGGTGACCCCCAGCCATGACATTGTTTCATTGCTACTTCATAACTGTAATTTTGCTACTGTTATGAACTGCTATATAGATATCTGATATATGACTCGACATCCCTGCTGCATCACTTGAGAGTGCCCTGAGTCTGATTTTTTCTCCCCAATCGAAGGAAAATAATGCTGATGTTCATTACACATTCCCACTAGGGTTAAATTAAAGTCTCTGTTTAATCACTAAGCATTCAGTCCTTTTCTTTGGTCATTTTTTTTTCCTCTAGAGCCTTTAAATAAATTCTAACAAGGAACGCTTTCTGTGTGAGAATCTTGGCTGGGAAATTTGTAATGGGGCAGGATGTGGCTCTAACAGACGCAAGGACAGAGGATGTAGGAAAGTGCCCAATATACAGTTGTTATATAAGTGACCAACACAATGAGGACATGCAGAAAGGGAGATTGGTAGCTGCAAAATAAGTAACTTCACATATTCGTATGATCATCCTCTGGTAACTATAATTAATTTGACAGTACCTAGGAAACACTGGGAAATGCTACAGTTTAAAGAAAACAAAAACTAAAGGAAGAAGAGAGCAAAGGTCAGATGAGAGGAGAAAGGCTAAAGGGGAGGAAAGCCTGGTGGTGGGAACGGGCAAGGGTCATCTCATCTACCTGGCCAAGGGTGCACTCCATGCCACCCAGGAAGTCAGCATCCTTCAGTCCGTTGTGGTTGCTGCTGATGTCATGAACCTCAAACCGGAGACGCTGGACCTCTTCAAAGTAAAAGTCCACGGTAAACAGTTTCGAGTACACTGGGTTTATGCAGGTACGGATGACCTCCGTCCTGTCCACCTGAAAGGAGAAGGATTAGGATTTTTATTATTAACCTTCAAGCTAGTTAATTATGGGGCACATCTGCTTGTTCTAAACTGTAAATGCCCTCCTGGGAGTCACAAGGGCCAGCAAATTGAAACTTTACAAGCCACCTTGGAGAATGAACTAAGCTTCAGTGCAGACAACTTTACTAGACATAACAAACAGTCTGGGGTTCTGCATTTGAAGATGTTAATTATGTTATATGGATTAAACAATAGAACAAGATGAAATAGATCAGCACTCATACAGGAGAGTTTGAGAGAAAATCTGGGCTCAGTGGAAAAGCCATCTATGACCAATCAGTGATGTCTGTTGGGCAGAGTTCTCATTTTAGCCACATCTACTGTAACACGAGCTTCCAACTCAAGATTCCTAGGACAACAAAGATGAAGGCTGTAAATGTTTTTATTTCCTCAGGACAGGGGACGAGATGAGAGTCACACCCAGGCAGAGCTTGAGCTGAGCCCATAGTCTTCTTCCTTCCTTCCTTCCTTCCTTCCTTCCTTCCTTCCTTCCTTCC